GTTTTTGTGCCAGTCTTTTAAGAAAACCACGTCATACTTTGAGATATGTAGCATGATCTGCTCTTTCTAAATAGACCGTAAGATATCTATATTTGTGACATGAGTCCCGGCCGGTGTGGCTCAGTGGTTGAGCGTCGACCTATGAACCAGGAGGTTCGATTCCCGGTCAGGGCACATGCCCGGGTTGTGGGTTCGATCCCCAGTAGGAGGTGAGCAGGAGGCAGCCGACCCATGATTCTCTCTCATCATTGATGTTTTTCTCTCTCTCTCCATCTCTCTCTCTTTCTCCCCTCCCCCCTCCCTCCCTCCCCCTCTCTGAAGTCAATACAAATAGACTGAAGAACGTATCTGTGAGATAATGCATTCACGGACATTGACGTTATCGAGCTGAGATTTGCAAAACAGATAATTTCCCTAGGGCTCTGCTGCTTTTCCTCGCAAAGACGCCGGCTGGCCGGAGAGAAAGGAAGGGGAGTGGAACCCGCAGACACAAGTTGCCCTGATGGGCTGCCTGGAGCAGCCACAGGCAACCAGCCTGGGACAGCCACAGGCATGTACCGCGAACTGTCCACGGTGCTCACCCCGCATTCTTGTTCTCAGCTCCCACCAACATCCTTGCCACCAACTATACGAAAGGATGTCGTCGTAGCCAAAGGGTACGATTCCTCTTTCCCGGAAGGAATTTACGTTCCCCTTCTTCCCTCGGCTAAAAGAGACTGCTGTTCAATTCACCACCGGGGAATTACAGACCTGTTTTTTAAAAATATGTTTTTTTATTGATTTTTTTTTTAGGCAGAAAGGAAGGGAGAGGAAGGGAGAGAGAGAAACATCCATGATGAGAGAGAATCATGGGTCGGCTCGGCTGCCTCCTGCACGCCCCACACTGGGGATCGAGCCCACAACCCCGGGCACGTGCCCTGACCCGGACACCAAACAGTGACCTCCTGGTGACGCTCAACCAGAGCTGTTTATTATGTCTTCAATCATGGGAACAGATCCCCAGTGTTCGTTTCCTCGGTTTCAAAGGCGAGTTTATATTATTACAGTGCCCCGGAGCTGCTATATAATCGCATTGTTTGTCCTGGCTTTTGTTTTGTATTGACTTTGGTGATTTGCAAACATAAATAACTAAATAAAATCTATCTCTCCTCATTAAGTTTTAATTACAGGCCACGGTAGAAAAGTAGTAAAATCCGATTATAACTGAACATACCACACCCCCAAAATAAGCTAAGAACAAGGCCCAGTGGGAGGTCTAACGGTGACAACAAATACTTTTATTTCTGATTATGAAGCATTTTAAACCAGGCAGCTCTTTCCCGGCCGGCGAGGCTCGGTGGTTGAGCATCGACCTAGGAACCAGGAGGTCACAGGTTCGATTCCCGGTCAGGGCACATGCCCAGGTTGTGGGCTCGATCCCCAGTAGGGAGCGTGCAGGAGGGAGCTGATCCATGATTCTCTCTCATCATGGATGTCTCTATCTCTCTCTCCCTTCCTCTCTGAAACCAATAAAAATATGTAAAAAAAAATGAGAGAGAAAAACAAAAGCTTTCGCCTGGGGATGGCACGTCACGACCCCTGACACGTGTTTGAGATGGGAGAAATACTTTTTTATGCAGCACTTTTCTTTTAGTGAATCCTTACCCGAGGATATTTTTTCCATTCCTTTTTTTTTATTATTGATTTTTTAGAGAGACTGACATCTATTTGTTGTTCTACCCACTTCTGCATTCCTCGGTGGGTCCCTGCATGAGCCTTGACCAGGGATCGAACCCACCACCTTGGGTATCGGGGACGATAATTCTAACCACCTGAGCTACCAGGCCAGGGCTCCATTGCTTTTTAGAGAGAGTGCAAAGGATGGAGGGGGGAGAGAGAGAGAGAGAAAAGCATTGATCTGAGAGACACATCGATGGGTTGCCTCCTGCACACGCCTCAACAAGGGCCAGGCATCGAACCCGCAACCCAGGTAACGTGCCTTTGATCGGAATGGAACCCACGACCCCTTGATGCGCGGGCCGACACTAACCACTGATCACCACCGGCCAGGGCTCCGATTCTTTAAATGGTCGCCACTGCGCCGTTCATCACACACTGTTTTCACGTCTGGAACTCGGGGGACCCTGCAGGGGTCACGGGATAGGAAGCTCGAGGCAAACCTGTGAGCGAAGCCGGGTACCCCGAGGGCGTGCCGCTGCTGTGGGCCCTGAGGATCGCTGTGGCTTTGCTCCCGCCGCCCCCCCTTCTCTCCGCACTCCCTCTCCCATTTCCACTGACCTTGATTTTCGGGGCACAGCATTTCCTAGAGCTGGGGAGAAAGTCCCTGCAACAGAGCGGCTCCCAGGAAGGATTTAGAAAGAATCTAAAAATCTTCCTCCACAATCAACCTTGCATCCAAGGTGCTGGAGGGCAAAACTTTTCTCAGGAAATAGCGTTTTTACGAATAACTGGCAAATTATGGTGATTTTCATACTTGGGTGTTTGGTAGGCATCTTCTGGGAAATGAATGAGATCTGTCACTCCTAGGAAATTACTGACAGTGTGCATCTGTGGCCAAGACTAACATTTGCTATTTCAGGTGGAAATTAACATTTTAGGAAGCGTGTGTCCCCCTCATGAGCTTAATCATCCCCGAATTCTCGGCACACTGCTCGAGTGAGGTGGGTGACAATATTAACCAACGTTGTCTCAGTGTTCCTGGGAAACACCTGGGTGATCAGCGTAAGTCTGTGAACCAGTATTTTCCAAGGACCCAACGCACGATACAAAACCATGTCCAGGTGGCCCTAGCTGGTTGGGCTCAGTGGATAGCGCGTCAGCCTGAAGACTGAAGGGTCCCGGGCTGGATTCCGGGTTTTGGGCTCGATCCCCAGTGTGGGGCGTACAGGTGGCAGCCGATCCATGATTCTCTCTCATCATTCGTGTTCTCTCTCTCCCTCTCTCGTCCTCTCTGAAATCAATAAAATAATAATAATAATTAAAATAAAATAAAATGAAAGAATTAGAGGGACACTTCCTCATGTTAAAAAAGAAGAAGAAATACACTTTTACCCAGGCAGGGTTTTTGTTTGTTTTAATATATTTTTATTGATTTCAGAGAGAGAGGGAGAGGAAGAGAAAGATAGAAACATCCATGATGAGAGAGAATCATGGATCGGCTGCCTCCTGCACGCCCCACACTGGGGATCGAGTCTGAAATCCAGGGAATGTGTCCTGACCGGGAATCAAACCGTGACCTCCTGGTTCACAGGTCGAGGCTCAACCACTGAGCCACGCCGGCTGGGCTAAAAGCTGCATTTCAGAGGAATGAAGAGCTGAAGGGGGATGCCCAGTGGGAGATGGGATTTATGTCTGAGTGTCTCACCAGGAGAGTGAGAATCACAGCAGAACTGCTAGGAGGTCAGCCCTGGCCGCTCCCCACAAAACTCCCAGCTCCCGAGCAAAGAACATTTTGTTTTCCAATTAATGGTTCCCAGAAGTCGAACCTGAAATATTATTTATGGTACAACTATAAAATCCCGTGTCTAGCATACTTTCTTTTTTTAAAAAAAATACTTTTATTGATGTCAGAGAGGAAGGGAGAGGGGGGATTGAGAGAGAGAAGCATCCATGATGAGAGAGAATCATGGATCGGCCGCCTCCTGCACGCCCCCCACTGGGGATCGAGCCCGCGACCCGGGCCTGTGCCCTGACCGGGAATGAAACCGTGACCTCCTGGTTCATTGGTCAACACTCAACGACGGAGCCACGCCGGCCGGGCCAGATTTGTCTTTTCATGGTTGAGTAGGACCCTTCTTCGTGGGCGGGAGACAGCCCCCCTCGCAGGGTCCGTCACCAGTTCTCTCCCAGCGCAGATCGGAGAGGCGGGGCCGAGGAGAAGGCAGCTGACCAGAGACACCAGCCGAGACAGACACATCCCCGTCCACGCCGGACCCACACGCGCCCCCGGCTCCCTGGCCCAGCACAATGGAGCCACACTGCCCTCTGGTAATTACCAGCTCTGCTCGCCCCGCTCAGAGGCTAATGATATATAATTAAAACTATATATTTGGCCTTTGTCCCTTTTCTGGAGCACAGCCCTGAAAACCCTGGGTTGTGACCAGGGCCGGCATCAAAGCCTTTTGTTATGCGGAGGAGGGAGCTTTGGGAAAGAGAGCAGGGATGGGGGCCGGTTGCCAAGGGAACCAGGCCGGTAAGGGGGAAGGTCGGGACTTGAGTGCCATCCCCGTGACCTCTGGAGAGAAGAGAGGAGCTGGAGGTTGAACCAGCCACCAAAGGCCAACTATTTTTCTTTAATTATTATTTTTTGGCCAGGAAACCTCTTCTTTTCAAATTTTTAAAAATTTTTTAAAATTGATTTCAGAGAGGAAGGGAGGGGGGGGAGAGAGAGAGAAGCATCAAAGAGGGAATCATGGATTGGCGGCCTCCTGCACGCCCCACACTGGGGATGGAGCCCATAACCCGGGCCTGTGCCCTGACCGGGAATCGAACCCGGGACCCTTCAGTCCACAGGCCGACGCTCCATCCATGGAGCCGGGTGCGAAGGCCAGGGGTTCAGTCAGCCGTGTCTACCTCAGAACCCTCCACAGAACACCCCCAGGACCAGGTTCTCCGACAGCCTCCGGATCGGTGACCACACACAGGGGCCGGGCCGTGGCGGCCGGAGAGGGCATGAGTTGTGTGTAATTCCAAGTAACATGCAAAACAGCCCATTGGCATAAGGGTGTTTGGTCAAAACAAAACAAAACTGCCCACCCACGTCCAAACCCGTCACTACTCTGAGGAAAGGTGACGTCGCACACGGCTGCGCCCAAGCACCTATTTTGCGACGGGGGGTCCAATGGAATGAAGTCTGGGGCGAAGACACCCCAGTGGCCAAAACCAGACTGTTTTCTGTTCTGTCTGGCTGCACGGTGACTGTAACGCATCACGTGACCGTCACCAGCCGCTCAGACGGGGAGGCGTTCCTTCGCGGGGCTCCGGGCCCAGGGGGTACTCACAGCTGGAGAAGATCAGCGGGCAGGAGTGCTCGTCCATGGGGAAGTGGTGCAGCTGCAGCTGGCACTCGGCATTGATGGTGAGCCTGCGGGGGAGCCAAGGTCACTGTCAAGGTCAGCCAGCCAGAACCCAGCAAAGTCACAGTGTGTGTGTGGTGGGGGGACGGGGCGGGGCTGGAGGGCAGGGGAGGGGCAGGCAGCACATGTGACTCGCTCCTGGTGGTGGCACCATCCATTCAGTGGCATCATGGGGTTGTTCTGGGGTTGTGCCATTTTATATTGCTTTTTAAGAATATATATATTTTTATTGATTTCAGAGAGGAAGGGAGAGAGAGCGAGACATCCATGATGAGAGAGAATCATGGATCAGCCGCCTCCTGCATGCCCTACTGGGGATCGAGCCTGCAACCCAGGCATGTGCCCTTGACCGGAATCGAACCCAGGACCCTTCAGTCTGCAGGCTGATGCTCTATCCACTGAGCCACACCGGAGAGGGTGTTGTAGTGTCATTTTGTTTTGCTTTTTTTTTAAAAAAAAAATGCTTTTATTGCCTGGACCCTGCGGCTCAGTGGTTGAGCGTCCACCTATGAACCAGGAGGTCACGGTTCAATTTCTGATCAGGGCACGTGCCTGGATTGCGGGCTTGATCCCCAGTGGGGGGCGTGCAGGAGGCAGCCGATCCATGATTCTCTCTCATCACTGACGTTTCTCTCTCTGCCTTCCTCGCTCTGGAATCAATAAAAACCTATTTAACCAAAGAAATAAAACAAAGAGCCCTGGCTCGGTGGTTAGAGCTGCTCAGAGGGACACGAGTCTGATTCCCGGTCACGGGCATGAGCTTCCGTGCAGGAGGCAACTAACCCATGTGTCGCTCTCACATCGATGTCGCTCTCTCTCTCTCTCTCCCTCTCTCTCCCCCTCCCTTTCACTCCCTTTAAAAAACCAATGGGAAAATATCTTTGGGAGAAATATCCTCGGTGAGCACTGACCAAAAAGAGAGAGAGAGAGAAAGAGAAAAAGAGAGAGAGAGACAGAGAGAGAGAGAGGGAGGCAGCAGGTGCAGCAAAGGTGTGAGGGGGAGTCTGGGAGAGCAGGGCGAGGCCTGGGGTTCAGGGAGGGCAGGTCCCGGCCCCTCCTCATGCCCGGGGAGCAGGAAGGGTGGCTTAGGTGCGGGCACGGCTGTGGCATGTTGCAGCGTGCATCCCATCAGACTTCCCCGAAGCCCGGCTTCTCTCGCCCGCAGCCAGGTTTCTGGGAGGCCCCGCCCTGCCCCCGGGAGCTCTCGTGACGGGGCAGCCAGGTTTCCAGGAGGGATGCGGGGGAACGCCCTCCCGGCTGTTTCACCACCCCCCCCCACCCCCCCCCCGCCCCCGCCTTGTGGTCTCGAGTTTGTTAATTTGCTCTAATTACATGTGTTAATTAGTGCGCCAAGACATCTTCCTGCACCGGCTAAGTGGACCCGCGGGTTAAATAGAGGAACGCTCATTTCCACGGCCCACTTCCAGCAGAAGCGGATCCTGATGAAGAACGCGCTTCATTCATGGCCTGCGATGTGCGTGCCTTCCTTTTATTTTTTTAAAGGTGACGTTTTATTAAAATATTTTTTTTTTTTATTGATTTCAGGGAGGAAGGAAGAGGGAGGGAGAGAGAGAAACATCCATGATGAGAGAGAGTCATGGATCGGCCGCCTCCTGCACGCCCCACACCGGGGATCGAGCCCGCCACCCGACCATGTGCCCTGACCGGGAATCGAACCGTGACCTCCTGGTTCCTAGGCCGACGCTCAGCCACTGAGCCACGCTCTGGGCCTTTCGTTTCACACCCGTGGCACCCAGGCATCGCGCCCTCGGGCGTGGATAATGTGAGGAGAGACCCCACAGAGCGGAGAAAGAGAGTTCCCATCCCCACGGGCCCTCCCCCCGTCAGGGACCCCGGTCCCCCACCGCCAGGCCCCCTCCGGCGTCTCGCCTCAGTGTGTAGAGGATCTTGCCGTCGTTCCAGATGCGCAGCAGCTGGTTGGGGGTGGTGATCCAGTGGGCCTCGGCCGTCTTGGAGTTGCGGAAGATGGTGTCGGGGATCCAGATCAGCCCCACCATGTTGCTGTTGAGGGTCAGGATCTTCATGGTGCTGTTGAAGCGAAGGCGGCTGTCCGTCCAGGTCTGCGCAAAAAATATGTCGATCTGGTATTCCTGCAACAGAGCGGGGGGGGGGGGGGGGGGCGGTGGTTCCGTTAGTGCGTCTCCTCTTTTTAAAAAGTTACATATATTTTTTTTTTCTTGATGTCAGAGAGGAAGGGGAGGGAGAGAGAAACATCCACGATGAGAGAGAATCCCTGATCGGCTGCCTCCTGCGCGCCCCCACCCCCTCTCGAGACACAGAATTCTTACTCACAAAATGAGCCCCCGTTCACGTGGAGGAAGCCGAAGAGGCCGTGAACTCGGTCTAAACAAGCTGCCCAAGAACATGGCGTCCGCGAGAGAGAAAAGCAAAAGGACGAAAGGACAGCGGACGGAGTGAGGAAGGACTCACTAAGGAATGGTTAAAAAATATATAATCATGTGGGGCCGAAACCGGTTTGGCTCAGTGGATAGAGCGTCGGCCTGCGGACTGAGGGGTCCTGGGTTCGATTCCGGTCAGGGGCATGTACCTGGGTTGCGGGCACATCCCCAGTGGGAGATGTGCAGGAGGCGGCTGATCGATGTTTCTCTCTCATCGATGTTTCTAACTCTCTATCTCTCTCCCTTCCTCTCTGTAAAAAATCAATAAAATGTATTTAAAAAAAATATATATATAATCATGTGAAGGGATATGAAAGAACAGCAAATAAAGTTCCAAACACATAACAGAGGGCTGAGAGGCATAAATACGTCACCGTATATGTGTGCAGACTGCCTACGAGGCCCCTAGGACCCTAAGAAATGCAAAACATGCACTGTGAATGACGCATTCTCGAATGGCCCCCCATAAACACCAAGCTGCCCCCGTGGGTGTGTGCCCCACGCTGGGAACCCGAGGTACACTGCCCTCCTGCTTGTCAGCTCTCTGCTGTGCAGTACTGCAACCCCAGGCAGACTTCCCTCCGCGCGTGCGGAATCTCATTCTGTCGCTGAGCAGCCAGGTCCCCTGACCTGAGCTAGGGACACCCCAAGGCTCAGCGGTGACCTCGCTCCCACTCTCTCCTTTGCTTGGGACCCGAGAGGGGCTCTGGGCCAGGCAATGCATCAGCCTGGAAGGGGTGTCAGGTCGAGAACTGAAGTTTTGTTCGAAAAAACGGAGACATTTCTTTCCACGAGCACCTTGGCCGAGAACCTAACTGCTGGCGATGGGAGACGTTCGAGGTTTGACTGTGTTTCTGTGTCTCACGCTCCAAGCCCTCAGTTCAGGAGGAAGGTTTTCTGTATTTCTACTCCTTAAAGTTATGGGCCGGCCCTGGCTTGTAAAGCTCAGTGGATAGCGCGTCGGCCTGCAGACTGAAGGGTCCCGGGTCCAATCCCAGTCGAGGGCACATGCCCAGGCTGCGGGCTCCATCTCCAGCAGGGGGCGTGCAGGAGGCAGCTGACGGATGATCCTCTCTCATCACTGATGTTTCTGTCTCTCCCCCCTTGCTTCCTCTCTCCGAAATCAATAAAATTATACTTAAATAAGTAAAATAATGAATGGATATCAACATTATAATGGGGGGGGCGGCATCATCTACCCATAGCGGGAGATGGTCTCCCTGTTGCTATGGAAACAGTCCTGATTTACCTTCCCTTTGTCCCTGGTCTGAAAGCACTTCTGTTTGCCGCTGTGACAGAGGAGTCTGCATCCTGGTCGCTATAGTAACAGCTTGCAGGCCTGCGCTCCCATCCCCGCTCCTCTCCCATCTCTGCACACCGGGACGCAGTCCCGATTCCAGGTGACAGACTCGATTATGATCGAGGAGATAATTAAGGTCGGGTCACCTGCTCTAATCCTGGGGGGCACAGGCCTCAACCTTGGGGGTGCCAGCTACCTGGAGGCACCATGCACCCCTCTCTCTCTCTCTCTCTCTCTCTCTCTCTCTCTCTCTCTCTCACAAACACATGGTCTAATCCACAGCCAAACTCATCAGGCATGAAGGAGGACAACACAAAAGGAGAGCACAGGCCCGTCCCCCGGGGACGGCCGTCCCAGGAGCGCGCAGGCCCGCGTGCGCCGTGGGACGAAGGGAGGCCACGCGTCCCACTCTGCCCCGAACGCACACGGGTTTGCTTCTCAGTTCACCTGAAAGGAACTCAAGCGCTCCCGGACCACGTTCAGAATATTCACAGAGGGACGAGGCCGGGTGTGCCGGAGAACGCCGTCCGTCCGTCCGTCAGAGACTCCTGAAACGGGCCGCGTCCCGGGTGTCGCCCTCAAGGGCGATGGCGACAGGTGTCTGGCAGTAAGCGCGTCGGCCGCTGGATGGATGGATTTCTCGGAGACTCGATGACGAGGGGGGAAGGGAACGGCTGCAATGACTGATGTTGATGACAGGAGCACCAAAGCGAAGGCCGAGCTAGGACGTCTCCCCGGGCGCAGCGCCCGTATCAGCACACGGCGCCTGGAGACCCACCCGTCTTCATCTGTCAGCACGTTAAGATAACACCCTCAACGTGTAAGCGGCGCCCCAAGTTACACGGAGAGCCAGGGTGCCCCCGGGGCCCACAGCCGTGCCTCCCGGGTGTACTTCCATACGTGCGGCTCGTTTTTTAACTTTCGACCCTTCTGAAAGGTTGCCAGACGGCTTAGGGACGTTAGGACAAATAGCTTGTCCACGAATTATAAACATGTATTTCTGAGGCACCCATGAGATTCCCCGTGAATATCACGGCTTCTAGGATGACTGCGGAAAGTGCTCTAGGAAATATGAGGAGGTAACTAGGGCCAGGGTACCCAACCCTACTTCATCGCCCAATTCAACAAACTGTAAAGGTAGTTTCCATGTCTTGCTGTTTATTTTCTTAATCATCTGAAATGTAAGGGCAGTGTCAGACTTACAGAACTCGGTACCGTTTCTGCGATGATTCACAACCTACATATATTCGTCTCTTACACTTGTTACCACTAATGGGCCCGTGTGGACACCTCATTAGCCCAAGTCCGTATTTCATTCATATCTCCTGCATTTTCACCTAATATCCTTTCACATTTTTTATTTCTTTTCTTTTTTGTTTGTTTGTTAATCCTCCCCAAGGATATTTTTCCCATTGATTTTTACAGAGAGTGGAAGGAAGGGAGGGAGGGAGAGAGAGAGAAACACGGATGTGAGAGAGACCCGGCGATCGGATGTCCCCTGCACACGCCCTGACTGGGGGCCAGGGATCGAACCTGCAACCCAGCTAGGTGTCCTGGACCAGGAGTCGAACCCGAGACCCTGCGGTGCGCAGGCGACGCTCTAACTGCTGAGCCACGCCAGCCACACCATACCGGCTGCTGGCATTCCTGGAGTCGATGCTCATACAGGGTTCAACCCTGTCTCTGCTGAGTGGGCTCACGGAGTGACTGGCTGGGCGGGACCCTCACCTGTCCGGTTTCAGGACCCGATGGGCTGACACAGCTGCTCGGACCACACTCACCTCCCTGCGTCTCGGCCAGAGGGCGAAGGAAAGGGGTTTGTTATGGCGCCTCCCACCGACACCAGGGAGGTGCTCCCGGACAGGGCAGCCCCCTGAGCTAGTGGGAGAGGCTCCCCAGCCTGCATGCTCGTCTTCTCAAAGGAATGGATGTATACGAGAGACCTGCACTGCGCTGTGGAACGCTAATTTATGAAAGCGATTAAAGCGTGCACCTTCGTTGAGAAAGCAAAGCAAGCAAACCTATACATCTTGCGAAGCCCGAGATGCTGGCATCTCCGCTTCCGGAGTAAAAGCGCCCTCCCCCTCCCTTCCCTCTCCCCTCTCCCCCTCTCCCTGCATTCTCTCCTTAAGGTGGTTGGTCTTTAACTCTGCTCTCCCAGTGCCCTTGGCCGGCTGCAGGCGACTCACACCGTTTGGCCTTGTCCTGACGTTCCTGCCTCAGTTTCCCCCTTCCTCCTGGCCTGGAATCCTGTAACAGGTCACTCGAACTCAGCGTAAACCAGACCGACGGACGGCGCTGTGTCACGTTTGAAGAAACCTGCCCCCACGCGCGTTCCGGGCGGGGGGACGCCCCTCTCCAGTTCGAGGCCAGACTGAAGGGCGACAGGCAGCGTCTCCCGCGACGCACGGGGGTTTGTCCATCGGGACACAGCACGACGGTTCTCATAGAGCAGCCGGGGCCCCTGCGTCCCCCGGGAAACCAAGGATGGTGTTCGCTTCTTACAGACAATTCGCACGTATTAAAAAACGCAGTTGCACCGGAGTCGCGAGGGGCCCAGGACGATGGAATGGGCGCCCGGCTCTCTCATTTGCTGGGAGAAAAAAAATTGGATTTTTGCACGAAAAACCCTTACGAACCTTGGGTAAGCACGCCAGCCGTCCTCACCCTGTTCCCATCTATTATTTACGTCCGCGGAGCGCGCAGGAAGAATCTTTGTCGCAGCAGAAAAAAAAGGTTTTTTTTAATCTGTTTTGCAACGTTTAGGTAATCCGATCGCTCTCTCCTTGACACCACTGGGGAAGGGGTCGCTGTACTGCAGACCGACTCCGTCTACCAAGCAACCCATAGAAGGTGCACCCCGTCCCGCGAGTGAACTAATTAACGAGGAAATGACCACACCATCTCCGTTCACAGCTTCCGCGGCAGGAGACCGGGGCAGGTGGTAGCCGACCAACCTTGACCGGCCGCTCCCTTTCTTCTCCAAAAGGCCTTCCCTCGAGAAATTAAACACGGAACCCAGGGAGCCCACTTCCAGGGATATGTCCTAAGAAACCCCGAACCCCCTCAGAAAGAAGGGGTGCACCCCCGTGTTCATAGCTGCACTGTTTACAAGAGCTCAGACCTGGAACCAGCCCCAGGGCCCTCAGCCGACCAGCGGATAAAAGAGCTCTGGGAGGCCGCCCTGGGAGGCCGCTCTCGGTGCAGAGCGTCGGCCTGTGACTGAGGGTCCCAGGTTCGAGTCTGATCAAGAGCATGTACCGCAGTTGTGGGCTTGGTCCCCAGTGCAGGAGGCAGCTGATCGATGTTTCTCTCTCATTGATGTTTCTGACTCTCTATCCCTCTCCCTTCCTCCCTGTAAAATCAATAAAATACATACATATATCTTAAA